CCCCCAACCCCACCTGGCTAATCTAACTAAAAGTCAGGTCAAGGCTAAGCGACAGACCTTAACAAGCTCTATTCACATGGTGCTGAGTCCAGGAATCAAAGCTGAGACCCTAGAGGTGACATAACACCACCCTTAAATTTCTTAAAATTGTACCTTCAAATATAGAAGATTTATAGCATGTACTAGGAAAAATTGTACCCTCAAATTAGAAGATTTATAGCAAGTACTAAGAAAATTTGAACCTTCAATTATAGAAGATTCATAGTGTGTACTAACAAAAAATGTGCCTTCAAATAATTATAGAAGAATTGTAGCACGTACCAGGCCACTGACGTGCCAATTATTTTATGTTTTTCTACAGTATGGTGGCAAGATAAAGCTAATGGTTTCATATAACAGGAAAAGTTTTGTAGAAACTAAGTTTCCTGTCACAGAGAGTAATCGGGTATGTAGGGATTAACAGTATTTTATTTTTTTAAATGATTTTTATGTCAATTTCTGCAATAAGCTTTTTTAAAATTTCTTCTGAGTGTTGCATTCCATTTTCCTTCTGTTCCCTGCTATTAACTTTCCCTTCTTCTTGTCTTTCTTTTCTTTCATTTCTTTCTTGTCTTTTTTCTCCTTATTTATTTCTTTTTCCATTTTTCCCTCTTGATCTACTACTTTCATTCCCTAATTATTTGACAAAAGTACAGTTATATAATGATCCTTATGGTTTTGAGTGTAAGTTGGAAATACTAATTTGGCTTTAAAATAGCATGACCCTGAATAGAACCTTTCACGCCCCATCTTCTTAACGTTTATTTCTGTTTCCTCTCTTTTTCCTTCAATTACCATCCCTTATCTTTCTCTGTACATTATTGCCTCCTCTCCTCTCCTCTCCTCTCCACTCCTGAAATTTCTGAAATTTCTGTTGACAATTTTAAAGATCTTAACATAATTCGTAACATAATGATCTCTACCAATGACAAGGTTATTTTTTATTTTTCTAAGTTTATATACAAATGCTTCATTCTTAGGAATGAATCAAAATAATTGATGTAATTTATTAATGATTACTTTTGATAAATTTATCTTTGATTATTATTACCATTCAATTAAGATTTTATAATTTAGTATATTTGTAATACTTATACCTATATTTTTTAATATGTTATTTTACATATAGATATAGATATATAGATATTTTTCTTAGTACAATGTGTTTGTAAAATATAACAAAAAATTCCTGTTAATGTTTAATGCTTTAGCAATACCTGTAAATTGTAGGTCATGCCAATAAAGCTATTTCAAAACCAAAACCTCTCCTCTCCTCTCCTCTCCTCTCCTCTCCATGACTCTTCATTACACCACTTGTCATAACAATTCTTTGTTCAAACGTTTGTTTATTCATTCCAGGATTACTTCGTGTTCGATATTGTTGATGACCAAGTGTTTGTGATCATAAACCACCAAAAAAACGAATCCAACATGTACATCTCGAACACCGGTGGTACAAAGTACACGCTGTCCATACCCAGGGTGCTATACCATAACCCATACACTGATGTCTCTTCTCCTTGGCTCAGGTATCATCATCATCATCATTATCATCATCATCATCATCAACATCATCATCATCATGATTATTATTATTAGCAATGCTGTTCCCTCCCATGATTCCCAGTCACACACAACCAGCTAGACTTTCATCACAAAAATTGAGAAAAATTATTTTGTTTTGGTGGACTTCAGTCAAAAGGTTTTTTTAATGTCCAAGGACTTAATTCAACTCTGAATTTCAAATGCTTGACTGCAACACACAGTCAACTCATGGTCAATACTAATCATTTGCAGTCAAGCATTTAAAATTCGGAGCCAGAATCATTTGACATTTTTGAGAAAATATATCCTGAGCGAGAAATTCACAGCAACAAGGAGCATGAGATAAGGGCAACAAATTGTTTTTGCACATTTGCACTTGTATGTGTGATTTCAAATGAGTATTTGTGTCGGTCCTGCTGTCAAAATAAAACAATAGAAATCCTATTGATTATTATTGATTATTATTGATCCTATTGAATCGCATACAGTAGCCTTCTTGTTCTTTGCTTTATTTATAAATGTTTACACTTACTTCAAAAAACGCTTAAAAAACGCTGTCAGTCAGAGATCTGAAATCTGAGACTGAGTAACACGCTGAAAATGTAATATATTCACAGCCAAACAACATAGTTTCCTTTTACCTTGAAATATAATGCATGACCATTGAGTCAGAAATGTGTTTTTTTCATATTTTTACCCAGAAAACATAAAAGCACAAAAAATTTCATTTTGTCTCGTAACACCTATTTCAGATCTCGGAACGCACATGCTGTGTGCTCTCATGAAGCACATGCATTAACCAATCAAAAATCACGCTTTACCATAGGTATTTTTTATCATTTTACATATAAAAGAAGATTATAGTTTTTTGATTTGCTTAACTAGTTTTGCAAACTATGCATGCAAGTTTTTTGATGCTCACAAAATGTTTTGTACCCATTTTTTGTACCCATTTTTTGTACCCATTTTTTGTACCCATTTTTGTACCCATTTTTATACCCATTTTTTGTGAAATCCTAAACGTAGCCTGTGATTGATGTTTTCTACCAGGACTACGGTCACATACGCATTTGTCGATATCCACAAAGTCAAATCTATGCGAGGAGTATACGTTGCTACCCAACTAACTCCAGGCCCTGTGGGGAGACGTCATCTTCTTTCCTTGATAACATACAACAAAGGAGGATCATGGGGAAGAATTAGATCACCCACAAGAGACGTCAACAACCAGCCAATTTATTGTTATCTGGTAAGTAGTTTGGGATTAACGAGCCTTCAAATTTTATTGTTACCCTGAAACAATTTCCTGGGTGATCAATTTCAGGGTATGTTTTACTCGCATGTTGAATTGAAATTTCATTTGCTAGAACTTTTAATGCCAAGCCCAAGAATCTAACCTAAATCCCCAGCGGTGAAAAGCTCTGGTACTACCCTTATGCCAGCTTGACACCCTTGATTTTGACAGATACCCTGTGATGTAACCTAGTGCTTGATGTTCCCGAGATGTAAACCTTGAAAAAATGTCCTTATGTGTATCTTTTCCTGTTGTCTTTCCAGCCATCATGTTCTCTTCATTTCAATTTGCTTTACGGTAGCGTCTATCGTATTTCGCCATCAGAAGATCTTCTGTCCAGCACTTCTGCGCCAGGACTTGTCATGGCTTTAGGTAAGGTTGCATACAAACTAAATGACAAGTAGCGGCAACATGAGACATGGACATGGTCGTAACACAATTACATATTTTCTAATTCTAGTCAAAAATTAAAAATTCTTGTTGCTTCCAAGAGGATTATTCTTCTTATAAGCTACAAAATTCGGGTTTTGTTTGCTTCATAGAGTACAGGCAAATGACCCAGAGGTCACTGTCAGTTGGGGTAGTGCTTTTACAAACTGTTTTAAATTTTATTAAAATTAAAAAAACACTCCAATAACATCGCATTTATCTCGTTAAGCAGGCACCTTCAACACACTTGACTGGGCCTGGTTGTACGAATGGTGGATAGCGCTATCTGAGGGATAAATCCTTATCCAGTGGATAAGTTGATGCTGTTTTCCAATGAATTTATCCACTAGAAAAAAAAAATCTGTTGGAATGCACTATCAACCCTTTGTGCAACTGGGCCCTGATGGAAAGTAAGGTTTCTGTCAAATGTGTGCATTCACAAAACTAACACTTTTCATTATTTGACTGATAGGTGTTGCAAGTACGAATCTCAAGATTCACCCTGATATGTTCATGTCAACTGATGGAGGACTCAACTGGAAACGTGTATGTAGCAATTGACTGGTCCATCCATCCATCCATTCTTCCATCCATCCATCCATCCAACTCATCCATCTGTCTGAGCGTCCATCCATCATCCATGCATCTACATCCATCTTTCCATCCATCTTTCCATCCATCCATCATCCATCCATCCATCATCCATCCATCTACATCCATCCTTCCGTCCATCTTTCCATCCATCTTTCCATCCATCCATTCATCCCATCCCTTTACTTACTCCATCTATTGATCTCAACAATCTGTTAATCCATGGAATTAACTCTAACTGTAAACTGTTTGTTTTCTGTCATGTGCCATTACACAATGATGTACCTTTACTTACTTAATTGTATCTTGTATCATTGTTCAGGTGCTCCGAGGAAAGCATCAGTACTCGTTCGGTGACCATGGTGGAGTCATAGTCGCTACATACTTTAGGCGCTACACCAAAACCCTGAAGTAAGTAACTATTATAATGATAATGTGATCAATACACTGTAGTTATAATGATATGAATATGGTTAGATTTACGATACTGAACTGCTCTAGATCTTTAAATTAGTTTGATCAATCTCATTATTTCACTCCAATAAGGGGCAAACGCTGTTGCCAATGTTTAAAAAGATGAAAAGGCAAACAAACTCCTTTCCTCCCCTCAATTCCATCCCCTTTAATTCCCTTCCATTCCCTTCCATTCCCTTTCCTCCTTTTTTTCATGCCCGATTTCCCCTTTCCTGTCTTCCATCCCCTTCCTTGTGGCCTCCCTCCCTCTCCCTCCCCTTCTTGCCTGCCTCCCTTGCCTGTCCTACATCCCTTTCCTTGTGGTCTCCCTTCCCTCCCTCCCCTTCTTACCTGCCTCCCTTGCCTGTCCTACATCCCTTTCCTGACTGACTGCCTTCCTCCCCTCTCCCCTTCTTGCCTGCCTCCCTTCCCTGTCCTACATCCCTTTTCTAACTGACTGCCCTCCTCCCCTCTCCCCTTCTTGCCTGCCTCCCTTCCCTGTCCTACATCCCTTTTCTAACTGACTGCCTTCCTCCCCTCTCCCCTTCTTGCCTGCCTCCCCTCCCTGTATTACATCCCTTTCCTGACTGATTGCCTCCCTCCCCCTCCCCTTCTTGCCTGCCTCCCTTCCCTGTCTTACATCCCTTTCCTGACTGACTCCCTCCCTCCCCTTCCTGGTCGCCAGACTCCTTATTCTCTTTCCTTTTTCCTCCCTTTTTCACTATTAACCAGCCAAGTCGTAAGAATGAAATTTTCTCGGCTGAATCAAGTAATCATATTTATTGGGTGTATTATTTACCTACAGATATAGTGTAAATGGTGGCGAGAACTGGCAGGTGACGCAGTTTTCCCCCAGAAACATCCTTGTTCAAGACATCATAACACAAGATGACCAGAAGCTACCAGTATTCCTGGTTTACGGGACACCCAGTGGAAGGAAGAAATCTTGGAAAATCTATCATTTTAACATGACCAGCACTTTAGGTATTCATCTTTATTATATAAGCCCTGTCCACAAAGTCTTTCTCAAAATGCTTCGGTTTCATCTTCTTATAAATCAATGATGAATTTTATTTTCTTCACTTTGGAGTTAAAGCCATTGTTATCGTGTCCAGCATATGATGGCCCCCGATAATTGACCACCGATAATTGACCACCTTATTGATCATGTGACTGACCATGTGATCATGCACGTGATTGACTATGTCATACACTTTGTGATGGCCCCAATGATTGTTCACCTTATTGATCATGTGACTAACCATGTGATCATGCACGTGTTTGACTATGTGATACAACACGTGATGGCCCCCGATGATAGACCACCTTATTGATCATGTGACTGACCATGTGATCATGCACGTGATTGACTATGTCATACAACACGTGATGGCCCCCAATGGTAGACCACCTTATTGATCATGTGACTGACCATGTGATCATGCACGTGATTGACCTCATGGTCAACTATGATGATCACATGATTGAACATATAAAATTGATTAACTTTGCTTCTTTCAGGAGCGCCTTGCCAGAGTGAAGATTTTATGGAGTGGATCCCGTCTGATGACAGAGTTGGGTATGAAAGATGCATCCTGGGAAGACAAGAGCATTATATGATCCGCAACTGGACCAGGACTTGTTACCTTGGAAACAACTACATTGGAAATGTAAAGTCCATCAATAAATGTGCCTGCACTCGATCTGATTATGAGTGGTAAGTATAGTAGTGATTATCATCGAATATGCACAAGAAAATCCAACGAAGGAATTGCGCTACCTTGCACTTTCGCTACTGCACATTCGCTACTAATAGAAGTCGATTCGCTACCTCGAGGTAGCACAATCGCTACTTTATCTCAAGATGCCTGTAAACCTCCTCTATAACACCACAAGATAGCGAGTTCTAAGGAGAGGTTGAGTTTTGAAATATTCTGGATCCATGGCAGACATGCATGAATCCTCTATCGTACTGACATTATTCTTCCCTTCACTTTGTCTCTCTCAGTGATTTTGGTTTCGAGCGCAACGCGTCTCATCCCAATTGTGTCCCTGTACCAAGGGAAGACCTGAATAATGATCTCATCCCTAAAGACTGTAAAGAGGGCAGTACGTACAAGAGATCTAGTGGGTAAGACCATCAAATTATATGAACTTGGTTCAACATCATCATCTCCATCATTATCACCATCATCATCCCCATCATCAGATCATCTTCATCATGATCACCATCATGATCACCATCATTATCATCATCACCATCATCATTATTATCATCATCATCATCCTCATCACCATAACCGTCATCACTATCACATCACCATCATCAAGATCATTATCACCATCGTCATGATCATCATCACCACCATCCTAATCATCATCATGATCATCACGATCATCATCATCATCATCACGTTCATCACCATGATCATGATCATCCTCATCACCATAACCGTCATCACTATCACATCATCATCACCATCATCATTATCATGATCTTGATCATCATCACCATCATTCTCATGATCAACATTAACACCAATCATCATAATTATAATATTTACATCTTCATTATTATTATCATCATTGATCATTATTTACAGCTACAGGAAGATTCCCGGTGATACATGTGTCGGCGGTGAAGACTTCAAGTTCTTTCCCGTGGATACTCCTTGCCCAGTCGAAGGTAAAACAGCTCTTCCTCTTGCCTTTTGTAGCTCAAGTAGTAATACTAAATGGGAACTGGGGTGCTTATCATTTAAACCAATCTATCTGGTTGGAAATTCGTTTGAAAATGACAAGAAAAGAGTGGGAAACTTTGACTTACGACAAATGGTACACACGTCTACCGGAAGAACCGAAAAGAGCGGGAAACTTTGACTTACGACAAATGGTACACACGTCT